TTATCAACTACCGTGATATCCTCGATTTCTTTGATCTTATCGGGGTTGATCTATATCCCTCAATTGGATACCATGAATCTGAGAAACTTGTCGGACCCGACCCCGAATGCACATTTTTTCTGGATTTAGCTTCATGTTGTACTTCTTCAATATACCGAAGGTTTCTTGCAAAGGCTTCAAATGGACCTCTGCTCGCAGGGACTTAACTAGCATATCGTCAATATAAACTTCCATGGTTTTTCCTATTTTTTCTTCAAACATTCGGTTTACTAGTCGTTGGTAAGTGGCACCGGCATTTTTTAATTCGAATGGCATTACGTTATAGCAATATGTGCCATATTCAACGATGAAAGAGGTTTATTCTTGGTCGCCCGGGTTCATCCGTATTTGGTTATACCCGGAATAAGCATCGAGAAAACTTAGAGTCTCGTGGCCAGTCGTGGCGTCGATCAAGCGATCGATGTTAGGCAAAGGAAAAGAATCTTTGGGGCATGCTTTATTTAGGTCTTTATAATCTATACACATGCTAAGTTTGTTTCCTTTCTTAGGAACCACGACTATATTTGCTAACCATTTCGGGTATTTGACCTCCCGGATGGATCCTATTTTAAGGAGTTTAGTTATCGCATCCTTGATGAAGGCATGTTTGATCTCCGACTGGGGTCTCCTTTTTTGTTTTACCGGGAGGAACCACGAGTCCAAGCTCAGTTTGTGACTAGTGATCTCCGGTGGGATCCCTGTCATATCGAGAGGGACCAAGCAAAAAAATTGATATTAGCTATAAGAAATTGAATAAGTTTTTTGCTGAGCTCGGGAGTTAACCTCGTTCCCAGGTATACCTTTCGATTAGGCAGTTGTTTAATCAGTATGACCTGCTCCAGTTCTTCGACCGTTAACTTGGTAGCGTCGGAATCATCGGGGGCGATAAAATATCGAGGAACCCCAAAGTCATCATCTTCGTCAATCCCTTGCTTGTCCGATTGGGTCGAAGATGGCATCGATGATTGCTATTTGGCTTCCGAACATGACTCCTTTGTCGATGGTAGTGTTGATATCGGAATTACATCATCGACAACAAACATCTCCTTCTTATTGTTCCCTATAAACCATCTTTATCCCATCCAGTGTCGGAAATTTTAATACCTAGTGAAGGGTCAAAGGTACGACCCTCATGTTGAGGATCCATGGTCTCCCGAACAGGGCGTTGTATCTCATGTCCCCCTCGATTACATAAAACTTGGTTTCCTGGATGGTACCGGCAACATTTCCCGGCAATGTTATTTCTCCTTTAGTAGTTTCGCAAGCCATGTTGAATCCATTCAGAACTCGAGCCGCAGGTACGATCTGGTCTTGCAGGCCGATTTGTTCCACGACCCCCGACCGAATGATGTTGGATGAGCTACCTAGATCAATTAGCACACGCTTAACACTAGTTTTATTCATAAGTACAGAGATTACCAATGCATCATTATGAGGTTGCATGATTCCTTCTGCGTCCTCGGCTAAAGTCCCTTTTCGTAAGTAATCCCAAGTTCGTTTTTCTCTTGTGATTGACACCTTGGTGCATTTCATCATCGGACCTTGAGGAACATCGACCCCTCTGATGATCATATGGATGACGTACTGGGGTTCGTCTTGTCCATTTTGTTTGTTGGAATCCTTATTTCTGAAGTGATTCTTAGCTCGGTCACTCAGAAATTCTCGAAGATGACCGTCGTTGAACAAACGGGCTACTTCCTCCCTCAGTTGTCGACAATCCTCCGTCATGTGGCCATGTGCGCCATGATATTTGCATATTTGGTTGGGATCCCTTTGTGCTGGATCAGTTTGCAGAGGTCAAGGCCACTTGGTATCTTTGATGCGCCCAATGGACGATACGATGGCAGTTGCATCGACATTAAAGTTGTACCCCGATAGTCATGGTGCTTCTTTGGGACCGAACTTTGACTCATGAGTCCCCGTGAACTTTGACCTCAATCATTTCTCCTCTCATTCCGTGCAAAATTTCGCCCAGATCCGCTGCCTCTACGGTCTCCATTATACGGTTGACATCGATCTCTGTTTGACCTTGGTTCTTGGTCGATAACCCTCTTGATTCTATCTACGAGCCTGATAGGATAAACGGACCCAGAAGGAGCCCCTAGTTGATCATCCTGGACCCTGATCTTCGACTGATACCGATTGTGTATATCGGTCCAAGTGATAGCAGGGTATTCGATCAAATTCTGCTTCAACTGCTGTGAAGCTACTAAACTTTGAACGTTGAAACCTTGAGTGAAAGCTTGAACAGCCCAATCGTCAGTGACCGGTGGAAAATCCATCAGTTCCATTTGGAATCGAGACACGAGTTCTCTGAGCATCTCGTTGTCCTTTTGCCTTACCTTAAAAAGGTCCGACCTCCTGGTTGCGACCTTGATTGCCCCGACGTGTGCCATTACAAAAGAATCTGCAAGCATAGCAAACGAGTCAATAGAATTAGGCGGTAAATTATGATACCATATCATAGCACCCTCCGATAGAGTCTCCCCGAATGTTTTCAGCAAGACGGATTTGATCTCGTCATCTTCCAAGTCATTTCCTTTGATAGAACACGTGTAAGAGGTAAAGTGTTCATTTGGATCAGTCATCCCGTTATACATAGGAATCTCGGGCAGATAGAACTTCTTGGGGATTGGCTTCGGAGCCATATTCGGGGGGAAAGGTTTTTGTACAAACTTTTTAGAATCTAGTCCTTTCAACATTGGTGGTGCCCCCGGGATTTGGTCGACCCTGGAGTTTTAGGTTTCCACCTTCTTATCGTTTTCCTCGATCTTCTTTTCCCTTGTCTCGATTCGCTTTGTCAGTTCTTCGGGCATCTTTATGATAGCAGGATTGGTCTCTGATTCTTTCTCGTTCGATTTCCTCTAAACCGATTTAACCCTATGTACAATTTCCTGGGATGGCTCGAGTTCGACCCTACTCGGTGTGTGGTTCTGATTTGGAGCTGGGCATTGCTGCATGTTGAGCCTGCAATATTTCGAAGATCACCCGCAGTTTGATCCCACCATCTTCACCACGTGCGCTCTGAGTAGCTGATCGGGCATCCCCGCGGACGTTGCTTACGGGATCGACGACCAAATTTCCATTGAGGCCAGCAGGGGGTACAATGTTTCCTGGTGCAATGTTCTCATTTTCGCCGTGGTGGCTAAGATTATTGTCAATGTGTTGAGGTGCTGACTGAGAGTTTGACATTTTTTAATCCTGTAATCAAAGATACTTCAAAGAACAAGTGTAAGATAGTGTGTGTTACGAAAGTTTGTACCAGGTAACCACTATTATCCTTAGCCCACGGTGGGCGCGAAACTGTTTACCCTAAAACTAGATAACAATTGAATTTATATGCGGTTGTAAGAACACGTGATATAACTTGGTACAAATTAAGAAGAATAAACTGGTACTGAAATATGCAATTAAAGAATAAATGCAAACCACATAAAGTATACAGCCTTGGCCCTTGAGTTCGGTCAACTTTGAACCATATATGTATCAACTGGCTTAAGAACATAATAACAAAACAATGATAACTAGAGAATGATAATATTTTACTTTGTATTGCGTAAATATGATTCCCTTTACAAATAATCAGACTCCCCTTTATATAGTAGGGGAGTCCTACTCTAAATACAACTCTATATGAGGTAAGATATCCCATGATTGGCTAATTAATTAATCAGCCTCTTCTTGATACGTACCGAGATTCTTGTCGTGATCCTCGCCCGATTGTGTATATTTCGTCATTCCCTTATTCGACTCAGTAAGCTTCCCTCGGTCTCTATCTTGTTCAGTCTCAATCTTGGTCGATCTGGATTTTTCACGGTCTCAGTCTTAATCGTTCTCAGGGCTATGAGCTCGGCAACCTAACTTTGTATCACAGTTCGATATAATATGAGGTTAAACCTTGGCTTATCACGCTCCAATCTCGATCAGTCATACAAAAAGGGCAAGCCCAATTTTAACCATATACAAGCTTAACTGGGACAGCAGAACGATTTACAATCTAATACCAGCAAGTTATGAACACAATTATCATATTTCTGTAGTAACCAAATATGATAACCAGGAATACAAATGCCATTTTATAATGTTCGTCTATTTTTTACCATGAGATCTAAAACTCATTTTACTATGTCTAAATCGTAGAATGTAAAACGAAAATAGTGTATAAAAGTAAAATAGTTTATGCAGATGAATTAGTACTTATAAAAGTCAATACCATGTCCAAGTGTTTATATCAAATGGCTACGCTAAGATAACACGCATTCTTAGATCATATTAAAACGTTCAACTCTCTCTCTATATATATATTGGCAATACCAAGACTATAAAATGATTAAAATCTATACGTTATACCCCACATATTAACATGTATAATTATCCGTACAATTTAGAAGTAAAAAGAAATGGGTTGACTTTTTTACTTGGTAAGGATATTAGCTGGATGTTACGTTGTTGTTGCTAAGTAGCCGTAAGCTATCACACTCGAAATGAATAAGAAAAGAGTTAATATACAAAATAATTCCTTACGAAAAGAGTTGGTATACTAAATAATTCCTTTTTTCTCGACCAAATGAATCCTTCCATTAGCGCTGAGTTCATAACAAGATGATTGAATCAGTTTATCTCACACATCATTTATTCTTCTTTTTGTTAAGTTTATTCTCCGGTTCCTTGTCATGATTAGACTTTATATTAATTCAAGGGGATGAGCCACTTCCCAATCACTACTTTAGCATTGTATATATCCAGTACAATTCATCTCTGACGTTTTTAGACATACCAAATCCGCTCCTAATTAATTTTAGTGAAAATATAAAGTGTACAGTTTGACTTTGACCTTGGATTGGTTCTGGATCCATGCAAGTGGGACAAACGAAATTCCATTACTCCAAATTGGAATATTTTTATAAAAAGCAGGAAAGAGTCAATTAATTGGCTGGCCATTACCAAACTCATTCTGTCTTGATCACCAAAGAATGTCAAGAAATCTTTACAATATAAATATTTGTGTTTAGAATTGTTTTTGAGCAGACTTTCTTTTTTTGGCATAACACAAAGTCTAAACTCTCTTTCTTTACTAAACTGAGCTCATAACAATGGATATCAACGAAGAAAAATCAGCAAAGTCCCAGCTACCCATTGAAGGAGATGAACAGATCAAAGCAACAAAGTCAGAAGAAATAACAAAGGAAAATGATCAAGTGATCATTCCACCAAAGACTGTAACAATCGAAAGTGATAAAGAAGAAAATCCAGCTGCGGAAAATAAAAATAAAGAAAAAATAGCCGATGAAGGTACAAACCAAAGTACGGAAGTGTTTACTCTGCAGATTAAGCAAAGTGAAGAAAAGACCAAATGCCGCCCAATAGCGTTTCTGTTGGGACTTCCATTTGCCCTAATCTCTCTCGTCATTGCATTTGTTGGATGCATTATCTGGATTCTCGGGTTTGTCCTTCTTAATTCCTCCTTTTTGTCTTTACTTTTTTTTCTAGAATATATAGGATTTACTTACGTATTAATTTATATGGCGACCGATTTTTTTTTTTTTAAGAACTTTTGAAGACCTAAATATACCATAACATTATTCATATGGCGTAAAACCATGTTAGTAAGGTTAAAAGGAGAAGTTCAAGTCAAAACTATTTTTAAAATTTTGAAATGTATCATTACTTTCAGAACCAGCTAAGAAGAAAATAATATATACTTTTTCTTTTTTAAGAGGAGGGAGTAACTTATAAACATATTGTTTTGCTTTCACTGTCCGTGTACTGTTACCTAAATTGCGACAAGTTATTTACTTTATTTAGTAGGTTATCACATTAAACTTATTATCGACAATTATATGTATGTTGTTACAATTCAGCTTAACCGAATAAAAAATTTCTGCAAAGAAGTTGAACTATTTAAAAAATGTGAAAAGCTCCTCCTTACTAGCAGCGCTCGTGTTTCTTCCGAATTAATAGAGGACAACGCAACTATTCATGTAGGATTAAAAAGAGTAGCCCAGTACACAAAGCAGAAAACAAAATAAAATATAAAAAATCAAAACGTTCATGCAAAAATGCAAAATTCAGGGAAGGGCCGCACCCCAAGGGATGTAACTTAATATAAATTAACCGATAAGCTTGTGGTCAATATTACTATTTTATAGTATTAACAAGTTCGAGTTAATTCCTCATATGGTCATTCAAGTCATAAAAATAACTCAATAAAGTTACCTTTATTTATTTTATACCAATGAAGTTACTTACTAAATATTCCATAAAATAATTCCTACGTGAAAGTACCGGAGAATAACATAAATATTCCCCTAGTAAATGACAGTTAATACGAAGAATTAATCAAACCAAGATGTTAGAAGAAAGTTATTTGGGTGTTAAAGGGGTCGTTTTGTAAGATGTATAGGAAAATTAATGGTGAATAAATTTTTTGTATTGGATTTGTACCGTATTAGGTTGTGTTTTGCAGATCAGGATAAATAATTCATACTATTTAACTTGATACACTAATTGGTGCATTAAGTTATACCAATACTAACAACATAGAATAACTAATCCATATATAACTTATACATGGATAAAGCATTAAAAGGATAAAATTATCCTTGTCTTTTTCCTAGAAGGCAATGAAGGTCAAACATCCCAGGATAAAATTATAAATTTATTGGTTTTTAATTGGAAGAATATATAAATATTATACATGATATCTTATAATACATCCAATTTTAGGGCAATGAACGAAACACCTAACAAGAAATATAATTTATATATTATTACTAACTCATGTATTATTAATCCTTACACTATAATATATGTACAACTTTGTCATCGTACCAAATGGCCCCTAAATGTATAAATTAACAAGAATTTTTGGTGTGGATGGTGCAGGTTGATTTTAACATGCATATGCCCCTGCTGCTTCTGTGTGACAATGTTGGTAGAAATGGCACTTGGTCTAGTCAATGCTCCTTTTGCTTTTTTCCAATATATCACTGATAAAATACCTTTCTGAAGACCCCTACTGAAGACTGCTCAATCTTTCACCATTTAAGATACACTATTTCAATCCTCTTAAATATTATCCCATCTTTTACCTTTTCCTCCCTCCCTATTGCAACCTCCTTCACCATAGGAAAAATAATAATAATTATAATAATAAGATGTGTTTTATATGTATAGTCTTCAAATTGAATATGGTTCTTTTTTTATCTTTTCAAGTTCAAGTGTATCCAATAAATTTGCTTGGTTTGTTTGTTCGTCTTGATTCTCTTTGCAATTACAATTAGAACCTCAGAGTTATGTCACTTTCGTGTAAATCAACATGTATGCTCCTCACAAATTTTCCTTTTAAGTGCTATCTTCTTGTAAAACAATAAACTTAAATTAAAGTTATGTCGTATTTGAGTGTTTTACGCGAATTAATTTACTCCGTCAAATAATAACAAATAATAGCAAATGTAGCTAACATGGAAAGGAGAAACATTGCTTTTCTAGAGAAGTAACACTAGATAAATATCGTAGTGATTTTAAATTAGAAAGATTTTCGTATACCCTCAGTTGTCACGGCGTCATTCTCGTAATAAATTTGTATGAGTTTGTTAGTCCTTTTGTTTCATTATTATTACATCTTTTGTTAGTTTCTTGGTGTTCTCTCCATACGTATTTCGCCTTTCATCTAAATGATAGTAGGTACTCCCTCCGTTTTCATTTATGTGAACTTGTTTGATTGGGCGCGGAGTTTAAGAAAAAAATGAATACTTTTGGAATTTGTTAAAAATGAGTTATTCTTTTTGAAACATACCAAAAAGGAAATAGGTTCACATAAACAGACCAAAGAGGAAGTATTATTTTGGATGTCACTGGCACTGTCACCGTCAACAAACAAGATGCGATGTAATCCACAATATGAACGCATTGGAGTAACACACGATTAAAGACGGTTATTGCACGCAAAATTTTCAACATTTTTCTCCTATTAATTAGGTTGTACAGAAAAAGTGATTTATGAGCTTGGGGTAGATGTATTTGTATCATTAAATGCCGCACTTAGGGCATCTCCAACCTTTATCTCATTTTGGGGACAATTTATTCCAACAATTCCCGCATACTTTCCCCCAAAACAGAATATTATTTTTTATATTCCTCTCTCTCTCTTCTATATAATATTATTATCTTTTATTTTAATTTTATTTTTTAATTTTTATTAAACAAATTCCATCTTTTATTTTCGTTAATTAATAATTTCCATTAAAATAATTTCATAAAATTTTAAATAATATAAATTGTAAGCAATTATTATAGGTTAACTAATAATTCAAATAAAAGTGAAATCATTGCGATACAAGATTATTAAATACATATTACATAATGATAAAATTCATTCGAAATACTACATAAATATTCAACATCAACCTCTGGTATTCTCCCATAAATGATCTATTAATGTATTACGAAGTGCAAAATGAGCATCTTTGTAATTCTTCTATGCTGAGCTAAAAATTCTTGAAATCGTTGATTTTCATCTACTGTCATTTCTACTGTTGGAGGTGGACCTTCCAAATCATCTTGAATTGGTGCATTAAGATCATGCACCTTTCAATTTTAGCAACATCTAATATTTTATATTTGCGCCATTCATTTTTTGAGATGAATATATATTTTTGTACAATTATAACTTATAATAAAATTAACTTACAATTTTACACAAAAATAATAAATGCACGAAAATTAATTTATCAAAATTAGACAACAATGTTAAGATGTAAAATTAATATTATAAAGATATTACATAAACATAATTAGGTATATATAAACAGTTAAATTAAAAGAGTTAAATATTAAAATAATAATAAAATATGCATGAATAGTAATGGGGGAGATGAATAGTGTCCACCCATATTTGGAGGAACACTATCCATCCCCCATTTTGGGGGCAAAAACGGGGAGGGTTGGAACTCCATTATGGCAAAAGTTGCCCCCATTATGGAAAGCTGAAAAGTCCAACTGATGAAACATAAATATATAACATCTCAAATTCAATTAACTATCAAAAGCAAAGGAAATTTTACCTCCTATAGCAAAGCTTTACACCATATTTATTATAAATAAAAATCCTTTTAAAATATTATTTTCTATAGCAACTTTTAGTTTTTATAGCAAAATATGTATTTATGGTCACTTCCTACTGTTAGGCTATTAAATACATTGTCTAATATTTTTCTCTCTCATTCTTTCAGTTTATTCTCTCCCAAAATCACGCATAGTATCTTATTTCTCTCTCCACGATCCCTCTCTCTCATTCTTTCCTATATGAACCAGAAAACTGGTTTCCTCCGACAAACGGTGAGCTTTTCCATGACTTCCATGGTTATCTCTACTCTTCAGCCATGAAAACAGTGAGCTTTTCCATGATTTCCTGCAAGTTTTCTTAACATCATTTTCAAAATTGTTCTTTCCCAATTCCACAGGACGTGGAGGCGTGACACCAAATTTTTCCCTTCTTATTCATGATTTCTTGCTTCTATCAAGAACTATGAAATTATGCAAGTCGTAAATCATCAACACATATTTTCACCACTCACCACTAAAGTTTTTGGATTTTTAGCTGGTTAAAGCTTCTTCTTTTTCTCCTCAACAATTTTTTAAAATATTCACTATTGCTAGGTTTTCCGCTGAATACCCACTAAAGCACTCAATTTCGAAAGGCCATCTTTCGATTTGCAAATCGCTCAAGAAGAACCTGTATTTGCGTGTTCATCAGCAACCATTGAAGCCGAAAGGGGAACAAAAATATGCAATGACCCTAATTGTAGATGTATTTATATGTATTCGAGTCCGCATACATTGATTTTAGTTTTTACAATGGTTTTCTCTTCTTGTATTTAGATGTATTTATATGTATTCAATAAGACATACACTGATTTTTATTTTGTACAGTGATTTTTGACTGTTGTATTTAGATGTATTTATATGTATTTGAGTTCTTACAACAATATTTTTAAATACATTATTAGTTCTATCATTTTGATGTTATTCATCAATTAATTATGCATTCAATCTAACTATATTCATATTTATTTTAAAACCTAACTGTATCCATCTGTATTTAAAACAACAATACAGTAAAATACTCTCAATACAAATAGAAAATCAATGAATACAACCAATGAAATATACTCAATAAAGCAGTAATACCATGTATTAGGAATAAATAAAATATTGTGAATACAAAAATAAACTTGAATACATTGAACACAATTGTTAGATACAATAGAATACAAGCACTAGGTTTATTATGAAATATGCAGGCAGTAGGTTACTATTTGTCACGATTCAAATCCCCGCTCTGGTCGTGATGGCGCCTCTCGTGAAGACAAGGCCAGCCAACAAACCCATATTGCCTTTTCAAAAATAGTTAAACATGAATAAGCAATCTAAATATGATTTAATAATATTAATTAGCGGAAGTACAACCCAACACAGCCCTAATCGGGGTGTCACAAGTCACGAGCATCTATAAGAGTGTAAATACAACTACAAGGTCTAAAAATACACTGAACAGGAATAATGAACAGCAGAGAGAGAAGCGGTGCTGCGAACGCTGGCAGTCACCTCGCTAAACTCCTATAGCTCTGCCACCTATCAGCCAAAACCCGCTACTGGGTGAATAAATACCTGCATCTGCACACGAGGTGCAGGGAGTAAAGTGAGTACTCCAACTCAGTGAGTAACAAAGGTAAATAATAACTGAGCAGTAAGAAATCACGTAAAATAAACCGTCATGCTGTATAGAGCAGTGTAAAACCCTTTTTAGAAAACAGTGAAGCTGTGAAATCCTTAGAAAATTATCTTGGCTCAGTTTAAACCTCTTTTGGAAATAACTTTTTCAGTGGTTACGCAATTCAATGCAAAATAATAGTGCAGATAAGCACAGAAATTCGCCCCTCGGGCACAACACTCAGTTTTTTAGATAATGCCAGACAATCAGGTAGGTATTGCATGAAGTAGCACAGAAACAGATAATGGCAGACAAATGAAATAAAGTAAACACATAGAACAGTACCAGTACCGCTGCGGCGTGCAGCCCGGTCCATATATCGCTGCAGCGTGTAGCCCGATCCATTTATCGTCGACGGCGCTCACTGGGGGTGTGCAGACTCCGGGAGGGGCCCATTACGGCCCAAGCGCAATCACTTCCAGTTAGAAATATCATTCCCTTAACTATCTGAGGCTACCCGCTGCTTAAGAGTTTCATGAACTCCCTTTCAGAACTGAACTGTAACCTAACACACGCAAGTCTCGGTCCTCCACAACATACCGCATATACCATACAACCCGAGGATAACATGAAAACTTTATCTCCCTCCCGAGCCACAGACATCTACGCACTCAACTAGTCAAGGACCTTCCATTGGTCCCATCTAGAAGAAAAATCACTATACATCCCATGCTCCGCATGCCCATAGAAAATATACATCTCCAAACCCCGGTAAAACCCAACAAGAACTCTCCCAATTCCATTTGCACAAACTAAAACCTAGCCACGGACGTGAATACCTTCCTTAACTAAAACCCAAACGACTAAGCAAGCCGTCAAAACCCAAGAGCATTGCTGCAAAATACCTGTACGAACTCATTACCTCGAACACACACAAAAAATTAATCATATCCTTACCATGCCGATCCGGTTTATTATCAAGCTACTCCATCTATCTAAATTTCCTTCTGATTCGTCTTCAACTTGATATTTCCCCTTGCTGTAGCACCACAATTCCTCAACCCAGCCTCACCACACGAGACCCAAGCATAAAACCACACTGTCCGAAACCCATAAACCGCTGAATACTCCCTTAAATTTTTCCCAAAACACCACATTCTAGAATACTTTACTCTGCAGAACTTCCTGCGAATCTAAATTCGTTACCCTTACTTTCCTGATACTGGTACATAGAATCCCATAATTCACATAGAAATACCACAAGTCTTGACCTCTTCCAATGAAAACAACAATTTCTAACCACATGTGCAACTTTAGAGCACTCAATTGATGTATACAGACTCTTGAACACACTAGAACTATTCTCGCAAGTCACTCACTCTTATTCAAGCTGCAATTTACCTGACCCAACGAACAGAACCACCCGTGCCTCATTGGCACTCCGACACCGCAAAATGAAATCCTCATCCCAATACAACCCAGCAACTTTCCGCTCTATGCACCGAGCATTCTTTACCAATAACCACTTAAGACATCCCGTGATTTTTCTTACTCTATGAAGCATAATATAACCTCGTCAACATTTTT